ACGCGTGACGCAGCTCGCCTGTTGTGCCACAACTATGTGTCGTTTAGCATAAAAACAGCATGTCATCCTTCTGGACGACGACATGCAAATCTGAGTTTCATTAGAGCTACGTGACGCAACCATAGTGCCATCACGCACCTTCATAACTGCGTGACGCAGCTCTGACCCAGTCAGTCACTTAAAATCAATTTAATTTAAATCCTTGGATCAAAGACTTCTAGATAACCTTAACCCATTCATTCCACATCCTCGTATCATCATTGGATTAGGCGGGGCCATAAAAACACGCGTCAACACAAGAATCCTCCAGAAGATCACATCAACAAGGGAGTCTTGAGGTTCCCTAACAAAGAACAAATGTTGATAGATGATGATCCTTTCCTACTTGTGGCATCCATCAATGTTGTTGAAGTATATGTAAGTAGTATTATTGAGCAGTTAAAGAAGTTGCAGATCTATTCTAAGTTCTCAAAGACACCCAAAGAGTTGCAGCAATACTAGCAGCAGAAAATTTCAGGGGGAGTTGGTCTTATATTGACCGCTTTCTTATAAAGGCGAGAGTTGCTAAATTTAAGCCAAAGTTTCAAAAGAACAAACTAACATTTATTCTTCCCCTACCTGTTGAGGCTAGCAAGACGTGGATGGTGGTGTGACATCCGAAGTTCCCTCCCTCAACCTCTAACTCGAACCCAAAAAAGGAGGTTATGGAGGAAAAGAACTTTGGAAAATTAGTAAAAGCCAGCTCTAGCCAATTTTAACAGTGGAATTAAGAAATAAGTTCAAACCAAAAGCCACAGATGGTCACATAAAGTCCCAAGGAAGCTCTATGGAGAAGGATCTTTTATAAGGTAATTTGTCAGTTAAGGGGTGCCTTTGCCTTTGGTTGTGCAGTTACAAGAAAATGGTTTTGCCACTAGAATTTTGGAGTTTCCAAGGGAGAAATGTGTATTCAAGGAAGATCTAGTAAATCAAGAGTCAAATATATACAATGGAGTCAACGGTAGTACTTGAGAAGCGACTTAACAAATTAGACCATTATATATCACTGCACATATCAATGGTTAGCCTACTTCAAGAGTTCTTATGGATTATGGATTAGTGTTGAACATAATGCCATTCAAAACTCTCTTAGCTCTTGGGAAGACAAAAGTTCTTATAACCAACAATATTTCAGTGTCAACTTTTAATGGTGATGTGTCAAAGACCATGAGAGTATTCCAGTAGAGATTATTGTTGGTTAATAAGTGCTACTCCACAAATGATATGGACTTGCCAGAAAGTCAGTCAATCACTAATTACAAATATTCCTAATCAACAATCAACCGAAACTTATCATTAGCCTGATTCGGCCTATGTTAGGTCATGGACCTAGAAAATCTCATTTTCATATTCAAGTCCATATTATAACTTAAAATTCACATATCACCACAATTAAAAGGTGCTAATTAGGTGCTAAATGTTTAAGTCCATGTAATTCAACCAACTTATCATACAAAGTCTCATTAAGCTCTTAGTTCTATTGATTTCCAATTATTCATTAACTAGTCTTTGTAATCACTTAATATTTCATTTAAAAGGTTCTAAATTAAGTCTTTAGTCCATGATCAAGTCACAAGTCCTTCCGTGTCAATAGTCAAGGTTTAGCCAATCAAGGCAAATTCACATTTTAGGTATTTTCAATTCACGTCAGTTCCCCTATCATCAGGTCCCCAACTTCCTTGACCTTCCGGCACTGGGCTGGCATCAGGCCCCATACATGTGAAGACCCGTGTTCTTGGTAAATAATCAGCCGAGTATGTCTCTTTCATACTAAATAATCCATATCCATTGATCATTTATATTAATATCACAATAACAAAAAAAAAAAGCCACCAAATCCACATCTATAGCCAATGAGGGTTCGACCGAATGGACAAATTCATCATTCATTGCACTAATTCATTTCCATTACACTAATTAGTCCATATTCAGTATATATTAACATTAAAATCTCAAAACCATAAAACCAAAACTCAAAAATCCCCAAATAGGGCCTAGGAGGTTTGGCCTCTTCTTCAAAATGCACAATTAAATGTTTTAATTATAAATCATGCTTTCCTTAATTCCATCATAGATTAACATAAATCAATCATTAATTTCAAACAAATCAACTAAATTTCACTTTAAATGAAAAAGGAGGTAAAAACCCTAGAATTCACAAACATGAAATTAGAAAGAGGAACTTGAAATTTGATGCATAAACCTTATTTATCAAGTTCCAAAAGCACAAATCTAAGTTTTCACCATCTTTTCCCCTTAGATTTAGCTAAATATCTCTACCAAAATAAAAGAGGAAAATCGAAATCATATATTATAATGCATGATATGCTAAAATAGAACATCTTCTAACGATACTTAACCAATATCCTAAACCAATTTCTAAAAATCAAAAGCAAAATGCAAAAGATGAGAAAATACCCAAATGTGAAGACTTACTAAAAACTTGAAAATCCAAAGTTTAGATGTAAATTACTTAGTGAGATGAGAGGTGAAACTCTTAGAACAATCTTTAATCAAGAATTTATGGTGAGATTTGAGAAGAAAAATGAGAGACAGAGGGCCTTAAAGTGTTTAGCCAACCTTCTGTTCATGAGAGAAAAATAGGTTTGTGGTGAGAAAAGGGTCTGAAAACTCATTAAGGGCACTTTGATACATTTTAGAATAGTTAGGGGCATTTTGATAAATTCCAATCAAGGAATCTTTGACTAGTCAACTAAACCATTAAGTTTTCAAATGAATGGCTATAATTCATTCTAGCTTTTTCTCATCTAATGACCACAATTAAATCTAAATTACAAGTCTTACTGATTAGACTTAACATCACATATCTTACATATATTTTTCAATAAAATCAATCTTTACACTTGTGAAATTTCAATTTTATCCTTATGACCATATTCACTAAATAATAAAATAATCATTTTGCATAAATCATAACTTAAATTAAACTAATCAAGACTAAATATATAGAGTCTAAATTAAACACATAAATAATAATTATGAATAATATCATTCTAGAAGTAATTAAAATACTAAATCCCTCTCGAGCGATATTGATCATGACTTGATTATGACATAAATTATAACCTAAATTCGGGACATTGCAATAATTAGAATATGCCTTGAGACATATATATTAGCACCTTTTTTGGGCAAAATATTGTTATGGAGCCTTGCATAAACCTAAAGATTTGCACTCATATGGGGAGAAATACTTGAATAGACAAAGTCTAACTAGCTCAGTTTAGTAGACAACTTAGTTTAACATAAATTTGAAGAATAAAAATAGCATTATAGTTTAGTGAATTTTACTCTACAAAAGTATCTTTGTAAAAGTATCATAAGTCTTAACAATATTAGCATGTCTTAGCAATTTAATTAAGCAATTTGAGAAAATAACTTGAAGTCAAGATAAATATAGTAAATGAGACATTGTTGCTCATTAAAAAGAGTTAAGCCAAAGAATCTACAATTCTTAGCCCAACTAGAGTCTCAATTGAAACATGCAGAACAACACAGTAGATTGAACCCAAAGGTTCGATACTTAAGGGGATATCTGTTACCAATAGTAATCAACATTACCACGTTAGTTGCGCCGAAATCCAAATCATTAAAATAAATTTGTAGCTCAGCCCCAGTTTGAGCTATCAAGCAATTGAAATTTAGCATTAGCCTGAACTCCTCGACAAGTGCTACTCCATATATGATATGGACTATGCCAGAAAGTTAGTCAATCACTAATTACCAATATTCATAATCACAATCTAAAATGACCTAATGTACATCAAATGTGCACTGATCAATCACAATTGAACTAATAACTCTCCATATCCTGAACTATTTAAGCATTAGAGTGTCTGCAGGTACCCTCTTCAAGGTGTTTCAGCTTGTTGTTTCACTTTTAGTTGTCATTATAATCTGTTGTCTACATCTATAGTCACCTGTAAATCACCAGGTATAAATTATAATACTTAATTGTTTTCTTTATTTTTTTATAAATATTTATTTAATACCAATAACGTGTTAATCGAGTTGATAAGCACACATGATGCTTGTAATTAAGGATGAGAATACAAATTTAATCACTGAAAAGTACATTTTATTGAAGAACCAAAAAACGCATTTGTTGGATACATATATTTTACACTCTACAACATGGAGGGGTTTAACACCTCCTCATTCTACAAAAAAAAAAAAAAAAAAAAAAAAAAAAAAAAAAAAAAAAAAAAAAAAAAAAACTCGTACAACATGGAGGGTTAACACCTCCTCATTCTACAAAAAAAAAAAAAAAAAAAAAAAAAAAAAAAAAAAAAAAAAAAAAAAAAAAAAAAAAAAAAAAAAAAATTCTAAAGAGGCTTAACACTTTTTTGGATTCTGAAAAAAAAAAACATATTAATTTTTTACCTATCATTGTAAAGTGTCTAAAAAAAAAAAAAAAAAAAAAAAAAAAAAAAAAAAAAAAAAAAAAAAAAAAAAAAATCTAAAGAGGCTTAACACTTTTTGATTCTGAAAAAAAAAACATATTAATTACCTATCATGTGAAAGTGTCTAAAACAGTAAATTAATATTTAGTCAATTGATTATAGTCAAAAAAGTCTCAATTTTGTATCTATTACAGCACTTAATCTTAACATAAGGAGCAAGTAGTATGATGAAAATAATATCTAAAAATTATATAATTAAATTTTGAAAATAATAATTTTAATTAGTATATTTGAATGGAACTGAAAAACTAAGTACTAATTCACGAATGTTTTTCAATCCGAATTCGAACAAAAATTATCGTAAATCAAGAATTTTATTTTATTTTTTGTGCAGGAAGGAGCACAACGTAAACCGTGTAATTGGTTTCACCCTTTTGTAGCCCAAAGTGGTCGGAACGTGACAAAACTAATTTCAAGTGGGCAGGTGGGACCATCCGTCCACATAGACAGGCGACGCTAAATAAACGGAACAGCAGGCCCTAGAATCCAGATCTAATCCGCAAACCCTTGAAATTTTACCAGTATCTTAATTTGAAGAATTTTGAAGCTCAAGTTTTCAAATTTCAAGTTCCGTAATCTTTGGTAAGCCTTCTCATTGCTGCTTTTTAACTCAAGTGTCTTAGACTGTGCTTATATTTACATGACAAGTTCGCGTAAATAGCTCAATCGTATCACTTCCTCACATGGAGTAGACAAAAATGATATTGGGTTTGCAAAATACTTGTGTTAAAATTATTTGGTTTTGTTGAATTTGTTGAAGGCTGTGAATTTGAGAATTGAGTATTTGTTGAATCTGATTTTGGATTTTGGAAAGTTTGATGAAATGGAGGTGATTAGATTTCTGGGTTATTTGAAATTCAAGTGCAAGGATTCATTTTTTCTGTACACTTGCTGTTTTTAGGGATTTGGGTTTTGTATGTGTGAATTAACTGTACAAGTGGAGTCATGGGTGAGAAATTTTGGGTGAGTGAAGAAAAGACTATGGTGGAATCAGTAATAGGTGCTGAGGCTTGTGAATACTTTTCCTCTTTGGCCTCTAATAATGTATTGGCAGATTTGGTTTCTCCAACGTGTAATTTGGGCTTGCAGCAGGGGTTGAGACAGGTTGTTGATAATTCAAATTGGAATTATGCAATTTTTTGGTGTGTGTCCAGCTTGAAATCTGGCGAGTCTATCTTGACTTGGGGTGATGGGGTTTTTCGGAGTTCGGATGGTGGTGGAGCTGGAAAAGAGAATTCTATAGGGGATGTTAAATTAGAGGGAGTTGAGAAGAGGGAGGAAGTGAAGAAGCGTGTGCTTCGAAAGCTGCACTCATGCTTTAATTTGTCGGCTAGTGATAACTATGCAGCTAAAGTGGATTGGGTTTCTGATTTGGAAATGTTTTATCTCACTTCAATGTATTTTACATTTCGATGTGATTCAGCGTCTTTTCCTGCAGATTCTTATAAGTCTGGTAGACCAATCTGGGCTTCGGATGTAATTAGTTGTCTAGAGCATTATCAATTGAGATCAGTTTTAGCAAGATCAGCTGGACTCCAAACGGTAGTGTTTTTACCTGCTAAGTCTGGAGTTGTGGAACTTGGTTCTGTTAAATCAGTTCCTGAAGAGCATAATATTATTGAAATGACAAAGACCATCTTTGGGGTTTCAAATGTTGTACAGGCAAAGGCATGTCCGAAAATTTTTGGCCGTGAACTAAGTCTGGGTGGGTCAAAATCTCAATCAATTACTATTAATTTCTCACCAAAAGTTGAAGATGACTTGATTTTCACTTCAGAATCTTATGCTGAAGCAATAGGCACTAATCCAGCTTATGGAAGTACTTCTAATGGATGCACAAGCAACAGTAATGAAGGGAAACTGTTTCCACATCTGAACCAAATGAATGTTTCTGGTTTCAATAATGAATCAACGGCTACTGGTATAGAGCAGCCTAAGGATGATTTGTCACCTCAGCCAGATGAGCGGAAGCCAAGGAAAAGAGGGAGAAAGCCAGCCAATGGGAGGGAAGAACCTCTAAATCATGTGGAAGCAGAACGACAAAGGAGGGAGAAGCTCAATCAGAGATTTTATGCATTGAGAGCTGTTGTTCCCAATATCTCTAAGATGGACAAGGCCTCTCTTCTTGGCGATGCTATTACCTATATCACTGATCTGCAGATGAAGATTAGGGTTTTGGAAACTGAAAAGGAGATGACAAACAATATGCAAAAGCCACCTGAAATTGATTTTCATACAAGGCAGGATGATGCAGTTGTGAGGTTCAGTTGTCCTTTGGATGCTCACCCGATTTCTAGCATACTAGAAACTTTTCGAGAACATCAAATTTCAGCACAAGAATGTAACGTGTCTATGACAGAGAATGATAAGATTGTTCACACATTTTCTATCCGGACTCAAAGTGGTGCTGCTGAGCAGTTGAAGGAGAAACTGGAGGCAGCCCTCTCTAAATGATTTCAGTGTACCATAGCTGTGTGTATAATCTCAGTCCAATCTGTTTATCTCATTTTGAGGAGGCAAAGAGGGAATCATGTTTGCTTGTGACTAACCAGCCATTGATGGTATCTGTACTCTTTTAACTTTTTGTTGTGTTATGTAACTTCTCATGCCAAGTGTGTGTAATTCCTGTTTGTAATATTTGTTTAAGGTTTATTTGGATGAAATTCCATGTACCAATTAGAGTTTATGTAACAAGATTTATTTTTGAAAGTTGGACATGTCCTTTAAAGTACTGTCCTATAATCTTAAACAGTTGCAAAATCAATTGCAACTGCAAAGTAAAATTGTCATTTTCCTATAGGGTGTTCATGTATTTTTTTTTTTTAATTTTAATTATTTTAACTTTGCTCAAATCACTAATTGAAATTAAAATTTGATAAAAACTAAAGATATTGCAGAGGTTTAGATTTTTCTTTTGGTTATAAATACTTAAATATGAAATAATAAAAGGTTAACAATAATTTTGATTTTATCTTTTGAAGATATTAATATAATTTTTATTAATAAGGCATCCAAGCCCTACAATAACATCAAGGGACAAGGCCCGTACATTCCATGGCACCAACCCAACTCAACTGCTCAAACGCCTACTTTAGACATGCTTTTATTCTGGATTGATTCAAAGCGCGAAAGGCAAGAAACGTAAACCGCCTGCCGCCAAGAAGCCATGAAAAGAACAAGCAAATCGCTCCTCAATATCTATCTTTCCAAACTCATCTCTCAAAGCAACCCATCAATAGTACTCGTCAAACATCTTTCAATATTAAGGCCTCTCAGCACGAAAACCACAATAAACTCAACAGTAAAGCACAAGGGTCCAACGAAATCCAATAAAGATTCGTTTATTCTGGAAAAATTTAGGCAAAGAAAGCTCCAGGGTTCTTTAAAAACGACAACCCAACAACAAGAAACGACAAATGTGAATGTTAATGAAGTGGGAAGCAAAAATGACCAGGGGAATGGTGGAGCACCAAAGGAGGTGTCAAGTTTTGAAGAGTTGGGTTTGAAAGAGGAAGTGGCAATGGCTGCTGCGGAGATGGATATTTGGGTTCCAAGTGAAATTCAGTGTGTTGGGATTCCTGCTATTTTGGAAGGGAAGAGTGTGGTTTTGAGTTCTGATTCCGGGTCTGGTAGGACTTTGGCATATTTATTCCCTCTTGTTCAGGTAATATTTTGAATGCTGGTTTCTTAGACAATTATGCAATCACTTCTGTCATGATATTTTTGGATATAATTCTGTTGGTTGTTTTCTGATTTTATTTTATTTACTCTTTCCATGAGTTTTGCATGCCAGGTGATTGAAAATATGCTTATTTGAAGTGGCTTTCATGATTGCCTTAGTTTTGTATTTTATTCTGTTATCTCATTGATATGATAGTTTTTGTATGTGGAGAGGGAGAAAAACAAAAATCCCATACTAATATATGCTCACAAAGCGGTTGAACAAAGTAACATGGATTTTCATTTGTTACTGTCTTGCAGCTATTAATACAAGATGAGGTATTTTCAAGCATGAAGCCTAAACATCCTAGGGCTGTTGTGTTGTGCACAACAGAGGAGCTATCTGACGAGGTCTTTGTCACCCCCCTTTCCTATGTAGTTTCTTGACATAGTTATTAGGTTTGAAAATATCATTGCAGCTTAATCTATTAATATATCTGTAATTCTATCCATAATTATTTTGAGAACAGAAATTAGAATGCCTTTCAAATTGACCATTGATTTTGATTGATGCGAAGGGATTTCGTGTGGCTAAGTTGATCAGCGATTTTGCACGGCTAAAATCCGCAAGGGAAAGTAGTTCTGACCAGTCATATCTAGAGGAGCTCTTAAATGCCCCAATCGGAATGTTAATAGGAACACCTAGTGAGGTTTTGCAGCAGATAGAGGAAAGCATTGTAACTGATAACATCAAATACTTGGTTAGGATCCTATTCATTTTCTGTTTTTTATTCTAAGATCAATAAATATTGTCATTTTACCAATCACTAAAATTTGATCAGTTTTTCTAGTTTATGAAAGATAGTTGCTTTTATTTTAGTGTTTGAAAGGAAAGGTTTGCATAAACTGCTCATTTGTCAGTTTAAGTGACAGCTGACGTTTAATGACAGGTATTGGATGAGGCAGATGCAATTTTTGATCATGGCTTTGGTCCTGAAATCAGCAAGATCATAAAATTGTTGAAGAATCATATATCAGAATCAAACTGCCAAGGACTTCAAATTATTTTAGTTACTTCTACAATGTCGAAGGTAGTGCTTGCACTATAACTTAGCAGATTTCCATTGTGCTGGTTTATTTCTGTGTATTTTAAATTGTTGGGCTGCTGGTTCTGAAGTGTTCTGCTTGCTCAACAGATACTAGGAAAAAGTGTTATTATGGAGCGTATTGAGCATGATAATGCTGGAAAACTCGCAGCAATGCTGCTTGAGATGGACCAGATGGAGGCTTTTGAAATTATTGAGTTCCCGGATGCTCTCAAGAAGAAAATGGCCGAGGCCATTGACTTCTTTACATCAGGATCATGAACTTGGTCACTTGCATTAGTTTGATTGAGAAAATTACATAGCTAGAATCATTTCTTGGTGCTATCATGAACTGATGTTTTAAGGCTCAATGGTTTTTGTATAGTTGATGAGGTCTTCTCCAACACTTCGAATCTGTTTTAGGAGGCAGTCCCTGTGGTAAGTGACAGTTTCGTTTCTGACTTTTGTAGAGGGATTAAATATTATATAGTTAGTGTATATGATAATGATTACTACTTGACACTTCTGTTATATTATAGTTATATTGCACGTTTCATTTGAGTATGGATTTAAAATTTTGGGATGAGCTAAATATCTTTACATAAGAACGACTCATTTAGTTGTTGGATATAATTTGTATTCGGATAAGTATAATTATTATTGACGTAATTTAAATTCAATGGCTAATAAGTGCATTTCTATGTAAGAACTTTCCGGTAGGTCAACATCCATATGCTGATTATTAATAAATAAAAAAATTAGAACCATACTGTAATATTGAGTTGCTGCACTTACAATTGTGTCTGCAAAATGGTAACTTACCGTGTTGATCTTCAGGCATAGCTTTTTCTAAGGGGTGTTTTTTTTTTTTTTTTTTTTTTTTTTTTTTTACTTACAATTGTGTCTGCAAGAATGGTAACTACCGTGTTGATCTTCAGGCATAGCTTTTCTTCTAAGGGTGTTTTTTCTTTATTTTTTTTTTTTTTTTTTTTCTCTCAACATTCTAATTGGTGCTTAGGGTCTTACATCAACAAGCAACTGAAAACGATAAATGTCCATAGCAAGAAATTGAGAGTAGCTAGTTAATAGATATTGTTGCTCAAAAGATTTATTATTTACTTATTATTATATTATTATTTTATTATTATTAAAATTATTGGAACCTACACGATTAATGTTTATAAGGCAAAAGCTTTTGATAATTAGGTTATTATTATTATTATTATTATTTTATTATTATTGAAGTTAGTCCAAAATTATTATTATTATTATTATTAAAATTATTGGAATCCTACACGATTAATGTTTATAAGGCAAGCTTTTGATAATTAGGTTATTATTATTATTATTATTATTATTATTATTGAAGTTAGTCCAAAAACTAGGCTCAAATAAGTGGTCCGAAATGGCAGCATGGAAATAAAATTCATTATAAGCAAAATTGTGCCAAGAGGGATACTTGGTTATGTATTCAAATCTGTAAATGTTGTACATGTTTAGGGTAATTTAGACTTTTTGTATAGTTTGTTGTAGTACTATAAATATTCTAGAGTATTCACTTTTCTTGTAATGCGCTATTAGTATTCCAATAAAAAGCGGTGACCTTGTTGTAAACGAATCAATACAATTTGAGTCAATACAATTAACTCAAATGTGTTAAACATTTACTCTATTTTCCATTCTCTTTTATTCTCTTAATTTCTTTAATTTCTCTCATGTCCCTCTCATTTAATTCTTTTTTCCCTCTTGAACTCTATTCTCATCTCCTTCTTTCTCAAACTAATAGGCCTTTAGTGCATTAATCCACCGTATCCTGAGGCACTTAACAGAAAATATCTAAGAACTAAAAGAATGAAAAAATCTAAAAGATATTCTCATTTATGTGAAAAACAATTTGTGCAAGAATATATTAAGCTACGCTAGCTAGTTTTGGTAACCGCTTTTAAAACAAGAAGTTGTTTAACATCTACAATTGCACACTATCAATATTGCCAGCTAGGATTTAACATGTAACTGACTTAGCTAACTAACTTCTTCTAGAATAAATATCACAAACGCACCGTTTCATTTATTTGTGTCTCTTGCTTGTGTCTTCAGTTACTACGCCTCTGTTTTGCCCAAAACTCTCCGTTTCACTAATTTGAGTTTTGGCTACTAATGCTCCCCTCCCCACAAGCTGGAGAATGGAGGTTTAACATTCCCAACTTGAGTACGAATGATCAAAAAGAAGCAATGGGAACTGGGGTTTTGTATGTACCCGCCAGCTGAGCATGAGTAGGAATTGGAAGAAGGTGAATAAGACCAAGTTTCAGTTTCACTCTAACAATGTGGCAGTCTAACTCAATATTTTTGGTACTTTCATGGAAAATTGGGTTAGCTGCAATATGCATAGCTGACTGATTATCATAGTACACACTTGCAAGCTGAGGATGAGGAATGACTAAGTCTTGAAGGAGATACTTAAGCCATTGAATTTCACAAGTGGTGGCAGCAAGAGCCCTATACTCTGCTTTTGAGAATGATCTAGACACTGTACTTTGCTTTTTGATTTCCAACAAATGAGATACCAAGATAAAGAGCATACCTTGTTACTGATCTCCTAGTATCAATGCAGCGTGTGAGACTCCATAGCACCAAAAATTTTAAGGTAAGTTGCTTTGAAAAATTAAAGCTCTTGTCACATTCGGTATATGTCATTTTCTTTCAACAATAGCATTTTGTTGGTGTGTCTCAACACAAGAAATTTGATGCAGGATGCCTTTGTTATGAAAGAAATCATGCATTTGAAATTCTAGCCAATCATGCATTAGAAATCATGCATTTTGTTGGTGTGTCAGCTCTGATCTGTTTAACTTTGACAGCAAATTGAGTTTCAACCATGGAAATAAAAGATTAAACTAATGATATGACCTCTAACTTTGACTTCATAAGAAAGATCCAAAGGCATCTAGTATGATCATCAACAACTAAAAAAAAAAAAATGTTGTGACCATGTATTGAAGGGACTGACAGAGGTCCCCATATATCCATATGCACCAAATCAGAAATAGTAAGAGCTATAGAGTCACTATTAGGAAAAGGCAATCTTTTCTGCTTACCCAAATGACAACAATCGCAGGGTATTATCATGTGCAGTAAATTTCACAGCAAGAAAAACTTTACTTATTTGCAGCAATCTTGTATTGGATGGATGTCCCATCCTATAATGCCAGATAGCATTTAGAGGAAATGAAGCAGTAGTTAGTGCAGAAGATGCACAAGGGATAAAAACTATTATTGAATTCACCAAGTGAGCTGTTATTGATGATATAAAAACATATAGCCCAGATTGCACCTCAACTGTACTAATCTTCTTCAAGGTAAGCTGATCCTGAATAATACAAGAAGTCCCCTCAAAATGTAAAACACATGCTAGCAGATGTATAAGTTTTGTCACTGAGATCAGATTGAATTTGAAACTTGGTATATAGAGAACATCAGAGAGTTGAGAATTAGCTGTGAAAATTATTGTGCCTGAGTAATGTGCCATGACATGACTTCCATCTTGTAGCTTCACAAAAATAGGCTTGATACACTTACATGTAGTAAACATTGAGAGTGAGAATGCTATATGGTCAGTTGCTCCAGTGTCTAAGAGCCATGTTTGAGCAAATGAATTAGCAAGAAGAGCTAAGTGAGTACCTGCAGCTTAGCTTAATTCATTTGAAGAGGGAGACGTGATCTCTTTTGCGGCAATAGTAGTAATGTTATGAACAGCTACAAGTGCACTTGTATTAGTGGTGTGATTGAGAGGCCCAGATTGCTCTTGTATGTGCAATAGCAATTTGAGATGTTGTTCTGGTTTAAAGGACAACATTGAGGCATCTGTGCTTGCAATAGTGTCCATTAGTGCTTGAAAAGAATCAGCATTGCACATGTTTGTAGCAGGTTGTGCTGTTTGATTTCAAAAAGGAAAGCCTAGAGGATATCAATGCTTTTTCTAGTAGGTATCTAATTGTGCCTTGGTTTCCTACAGAAGGTGCAAAATTTGATGTTATTGTTCATCTGATTTCGTGGTACAAAAGCTCCAGCAAAGTTGAAATTGTTCAATTTGGAATTGTAAATCCGATTCCCTCCAGTTGCACCTCTACTTCCAGAACTTGAATTCTTGATTCTAGAGGCTACATTCTGGTTGTGACCAGATCTGAAATTGCTATTGGAGATCTATTCATCAATACCTTATTAACAGGAGGCAAAGGATCGAACAACATTATATGTGACTTGACATGTGCATATTGATCATTCAAGCCCTTCAAAAACCTAATTACATAATCATCTTTAATATATTTTCTGAAAATTCCAATTACACCACAAGAACAAGGTGTAGGACAAGTACAGTTAGGTATAGGCTTCAAATTAAGAAATTCATCCCATAATATCTTCAATTGAGTAAAATATTCACTTCTTGTTTAAAATTGGAAATCTCTTCTTGCAAGTCAGAGATTCAAAGCACATTACCTTCGGAAAATTGTCCTGTAGATCCTTCCAAACATCAAAAGCATTATCAACCCAAAGGATGCTTTATGCAATGGAAGGAGAAAGTGACCTTGTGATCCAAGAAAGAACCATCTTAATACACCTCTCCCAGGTGGAGAACATAGCATCTGTTGGAGGAGGCTGAGCTAGAGATCCATCAATGAAATCAATTTTATTATTTTGAAATCAAAGTGCTCTTCGTAGCTCGGGCCCAAGAGTGATAGTTTGAGTCAGAAAGCATAGGTGAAACCAAGACTAAACCAAGATTTTCGTTTGGATGGAGAAAATACGGGTTGGAAGGGTTCTGCAAATGATCAGCCGCCATTTTTGCTTGAGTAAAAGTAAGAATAGAGAACTAGAAACTAATAGAGAAGAAAATATCAATTTCAATATGAACAAGAAGAAGAATTTAGAGTGATGAGCGATGATTGCTCTGATACCATAACAGAAAATATCTAAGAACAAAAGAACGAAAAAATCTGGAAGATATTGTCATTAATGTGAAAAACAATTTGTACAAGAATATATTAAGCTACGATAGCTAGTTTTGGTAACCGCTTCTAAAACAGCAAGTTGTTTAACATCTACAACTACACACTAACAATATTGCCAGCTAGGATTTAACATGTAACTGACTCATCTAACTAACTTCTTCTAGAATAAGTACCACAAATGCACCATTTCATTTATTTGTGTCTCTTGCTTGTATCTTCAATTATTGCGCCTCTGATGAACTAATTTGAGTTTGGTTGCTAATACCGCTCCTGATAGATATAGGCCTAATCGATCGTCTCCACTTTGGATCAAGCAACTTTTTTGGCATGCTCGATGGGACTCATTAGGGTGTTATTAAGATATTAAGATGATGATTAGAATGACTTTTGGTTTGGCTCATAATATGCATGAGGACAATCCTTGAGAAACAGAGCTTAAGGACATTATGTGCATTGTTTAGCACATCAATTGCAATTAACTCTTGTTGCTGCAGCTAAAGAGGTGTTTGATGTTTATGCATTTTTCAAATTTTGACTTTTATTGTCAATATTGTCAGTGCTTCTTCTAAACGCAATGA